TTCCCCCCCCCCCTCCTCTTTCCCCAAGCATGACGGCAGGGGCACGTACCAGCTGGTGGAGCTGCGGGTGCTGAGCAACTGGGGCCACCCCGAATACACCTGCATCTACCGCTTCCGCGTCAACGGGGAGCCGGCGCCCTGAGCCCCGGCCCCCACGCGGGGCCGGGCCGACAGGGGGAGGGGGCTCGGCTCCTTCCCCGCCCCTTCGAACCCTCTCCCCTCGTGGGAGGAGAAGAGCTGGTGTCAAGGGCTGAGAGGCTTTTGCTCTTCCAAGGGCTGGGGTGGTGAGAGGAGAGCATCCCGCGCGGGTCCTGGCTTGTTCTCGGTGCGTATCGGGCCTTTTAACTTTGGAAGCTCATTTTTTTTAATCAGGCCCGTGCCATCCCCTGTCCCTGCTGCCCTGCTCTTTCCCCAGGGTGTGCGTGGGAGGAGAAGAGCTGGTGTCAAGGGCTGAGAGGCTTTTGCTCTTCCAAGGGCTGGGGTGGTGAGAGGAGAGCATCCCGCGCGGGTCCTGGCTTGTTCTCGGTGCGTATCGGGCCTTTTAACTTTGGAAGCTCATTTTTTTTAATCAGGCCCGTGCCATCCCCTGTCCCTGCTGCCCTGCTCTTTCCCCAGGGTGTGCCTGGCATTGCTGGGGCTTGGGGAAGGGGTGTATGATTTTTGTGATGTGCTTCACAGGGGCTTGGGCGTGATGCGGGGTTTGGGACCGGCTTGGTGCCACTGGAGTTAGGAGCAACCAGTCTCCCCCCTCCACATGGAGTCATTTCTCCTGCCTTGGCATCGATTTGGGTAAAGTTCTCCAGATCTCTGGGCTGGCAGAGGGGGAATGAAACAGTATTAACGAAGTATTAACATAAAATGAATGGTTTGGGGCAGCAGGAGGGGAGAAATTTGGCACATGCGGGTGGTGGAACCTGATCCAGTGCTGCTGTCTGTCCACTTGAGCTCTCCTGTTGCCAGTGGCTGTCTTAGGTCTTGGGAATGTCATTGGCAATGCCATGGGGCCCCCCAGCTGCCTGACTCCCCAGGTTTAAGCTTGGCAATGCTATTGAAAGCTCCTGTTGCCTGCTTCCCTTTTTGGGTTTGTGCTGTTGTTTTTGTTTGTGTTTTATTTTTTTATAAGGGGGATGGGGTAAGGGGTTATTTTCCAGTTACAGATTTATTTTTTTTGGTAATAACAAAGGAAAAAAAAAAAGACTTTTTCCACACGATTTCTACTGAACCAGAGGCTGTTACGTGGTGCCCCTTGGGCAAGTGGTTTAGATGCAGAGAGAGCTAGAGCTTTGTTTAGCAGAATAGTGCACACAGTAGGATAAGCTAGAATAAGATGAGCAGAGCTATTTTAAAATATGGGTCTCGAGTTGTTGGTGGCTTGGTAGCTGGATCTGGGAGACAAGGTCCTCTGTGGACTGCTGCTTGGCAGGGTGCTGGAGGCACCCCTGCTCTCCTTGCTCTGGAGGTGTCCTCTGAGACACAACGTGTGGCCAGGGCTGTTCACCCATGTCTGCATCTGTATGTAGGTGTCTGCAGTGAGCAGGAGTTGCTGCCCTGGTGCTCTGCATGACTCTCTGTGGTCAGTTTGGTGGGAGGTAGGGTGGAGGGGAGACCTTCTTCCCCAGAGCTTGCAGGTGCCAGCATGCTTCTTCACCTTGGGGGGCAGTAAGGGCTCCCCCTGACCTGCAGCACGAAGGGCTGCCCATCACCTCCCAGTCCTCGATGGCAGATGGCTGGTGCAGCCTGACCTCCTTCTTTTGGAAGGATTCCCTTCCTTTCCTGCCTCCCCCTTGCTGGTGTTGCTCAGCTCCCCCAGCCCTAGCTGCAGAGGACCGTGCCAGAGCAGGATGGGGAGTCCTGCCTGCAGCAGGCACATAAATCTTGTCCATAGCTATCCTGTGGCAGGGGAGCCATCCCAGGGGACTGCAGGAAGGGTGCTTGGGGACCTTTCCCAGGTTGAGGAGTGCCAGGGCCATCTGGTCACCCCAGCTCCTGGCTGCCTGCAGGACGCTGAATTTGGCTTACGTTCTTGGATGGTGTTTAGAGCCTCCACGTTTGTCTTGTGTTTCATTGAAAGAAAAGCTAAAGGGCTCCTGTTGAGCATTTCAGCACTGTCTGATGCTGGCATCATCCTTCCACTAGTGCTGTGAGCACCATGGATTGATTCCCACTCTGATCCCCCCATGCTGTAGGGCGAGTGGCATAGCAGAGGGGAAGGGGCTGAAGAAACTTTTCCCTTGAGGGCGATGGTGGCACAGCCCTTCTGGAGGAGTCTCCTTCCTCCAGGCAAGGGAAACAAGCCCAAAGGGTGCAGACCCATCTCCAAAATTCCTGTGTAGAGTCCTCTGTGGAGCTGGGAGGTCCTGCTTCTGCCTGGAGAACACAGACCTGTAGCCAAAGCTAGCGACGAGGAGTTGTCTCCTATATTGAGCCTAGTCTTAATTCTTGGCATCTGCAGCCAAAGTTATTTTAAACCTGTCTACAGCTGCCTGCTTGCCTCGGAGTCATGTCCATGAGTGCCCTGTGCACTTGGAGTCGTGCTTCTATGAAAGCCTAGGCCTGTCCTGGGCTTGGCAGAGCAGCTCCTGTATTCAGTTGAATGATAAAGAGAAAGCAGAGATGAAGCTCTCTTTCTTCCCCGGGGGTTTTCTGGCTGACTGGAGCAAATGCTGTAACCACGAGGCTGGAAAACCTCTTTTCTTGTGTCCCTTCTGGCTCCCTGGCCTCTGGGGTGGGCTGTCAGGGTCTTTGCCCAGGAGAAAACAAAGATTTTGTGGTCAATCAGGCATGCTGGTGAGAGGTGGGGAAGGGGGGGGCCTCTACTGGAGTTCTCTGCTCCTTCTAAGGGGGTGTTAACCACTGGCTGTGGGGTAGGGAGCATTTGGCTTTCCAGGGCAAGCTTGAAAGTCTCAGCTGAGTCTCAGCTGTCCTGAGGTAAAACCCCCTGGAGACACCCTGGGGAGGTTTATGCCCTTCTCTAGAGGATGGGGCTGGTTTTAGAGGTCTGCGAGTCCTTAGAGGACTGTGTGAGGACCCCCAGGAAGGCATGCTGAGGCTGGGTGTGGTTTTTCAGCCCTCAAATCCTGCAAGGGGGCAGGGTTGCAGCCTGAGCAGCTGTGCTGAGCTGCTTCTCCCCAGCAGCAGCTTGCAGCATTGCTGTAGCACTTTCCTGAGCTGCAGAGGAAAAGAGGGCACACATAAACCTGCAGCCTCAGCACATGCATCTCTGCCCAGGGGTTTTTAATCCTAGTGCTGATGAAGATGAGCTCGGTGAGGCAGGAGAAAGGCAGAACAGCTGCTCAAAGCAGATTTCCCTTATTTACTCCATTTCCCTCCTCTCTTCTTCCTCCTCCTCTGTTTGCCCTCCACACGTGTCATGACTCAGATGGTTTATACAGGCAGGAGATGAGTTTGTTATTTGATGCTGTAGCCTGTTGCAAATGCTGCACTGTTTTTGTTCATTTTATTTTTTAATCAACAGATTGTAATTTATGCCTATGCAAGAAAAAAAAAAAAGACCAAGACAAATAAAATATCAAAACAGCTCTAGGGTGTGTTGTGTGAGTGAATTTGCTGGAGGAAATGATGCACAGCTAATAGACAAAGCTACTGGTGTAGCTCTTCTATGTGTTTTCATAGCAAATCCTTATTTTCCAGCCTGATCTACTAACTCTAGGGCCATCAGTTTTCACCTTGTCATCAAACAGGCTCAGGGATGCAAAAACTTGTTGCAGGTAAGACTTAAAAACTCTTAATTCCTTGGGGAGTTTGACTTAGAACTCCACAACAGGCCTGGGCTGTGACCTCCAAGCCATCAGTCCATCCTCTGCATGATCATGGGCATTAGAGCCTGGCTTTGCTGTCTTTTCCTTAACATGGGCTGTTAATTATGCAGCAGTTGGCTAAGAAAGGGAATACTTAATTGTCCTCAGGATAAGGAAGTTAACCAAGAGCATAAAAAATGGCTGCAAAAAGGGAAATTGGATTGGCTTGAGCTAGGGGAGGGTCCTGTCAATGTCTCCTTGCCCAGGATGGGCTGGAGGCAGGCTTGTGTTGAGGAAAACACAAAGTGTTGCAGAGCTGGCCCTAAATGATTAGCTAGAGCAGCTGAAAATATCTTAGGCAGGGTAGAAGCTCTTGGGGCTCTGCAGAGGCTCAGCAGCAGCTCGTGGCATCACCTGCCCTGTCCTCAGGATGAACTCGACCTCCTTGTGGAGCCAGCAAAGGACCACAGCGTCCAAGGGGCAAGTCCTGCTCTTCCCCAAGGGACCAAAAAAAAGGCAACCAGACACGTTTCAACTTGGAACAAACTTTTTTTAAAATTTAATTTTATAGATCACACCAGCCCGAGTGATCTTTGAATGCTGGTCACAAAAGAGAGATCACGCCCCCTCCTTCACATGAACTGAAGTAAACCCTCCTCCAGTCTCGGCAGTCTCCTTCATTTGGAGCACAAAGGAATGGAGAAAGAGAGAACGCTGCCTAGGAGCTCCCTGCTCCCCTGGGAAGCAGAGGGCAGTTTGCTGCTGCTGCAGGGCCAAGAAGAAAGAAAACCAGGTCCTTGTGGCCTGCTCAGCCACACTTCACACCCCCTCACAATGCGGGTGCTATTAGTGTTGTAGCCGCCTGTGGTTCCTCCCTCGCCAGGAGAGTGCTGGTATTTAGGCACAGAGCTTGGAAAGGGCTGTCTGACCTCCTCCTTCCACCCACGCTCAGGCTGTGGCAGTCTCTAAGGCAAAGTAACCTCTCCAAACCACCTTCCTCACCTCTCCCGTGCTGCTTAATGCTCTTGGAGTGCTGCTGCCAGGAGATGTGCTCTCTCCCACCCCAAGCCTGCTGTTGCTCAGGCTTGAAAGCCTACCTTGAATCACAAGGTGAATTGGAATGAACTCCACACAGGTGCCACAGAGAGAGAAACAGAACAACCCACCAAGGAGGGACAGAAGCTTTACAGTCTCCCTCAAAATAAAAGTCCTTCACTGGAGGAGGAAGCCCTCAAAGACCTGCTGGGGAGAGCAAGGATTTGCTGAGGATGCCACCTCCTCCCTCAAAATGCTCCCACAGCTCCCCAAAAACGAGCAGAGGGTAACTCCTGTCCTCACGGGAGCCAAAGAGGCTGGGTTAGAAGAAGGGAGATCAAAATAAGCAGGGAACTGACCACTTGCACAACCCAGGGTTCAACACCATAACCATAGTTAATCGACCGCCCTTGCAGGGACTTCTGGAGAAGCCAGAATTTGTCATTAAAAACAAAAAAAAAAATACCCCCCACAACAACCCAATCTTTTTAAAAAACTGAAATAAAAATTAGAAAAAAAAAAATACCATATACTTCCAAACCTGAAAGTACTTCTATGAATTTGATACCAAGTCATCGTTGTCCTCTTCGGCCAAGAGGGGAGAAAACAAATCATAGCAAAGTATGGCCAGTGAGTTCCAGAAAAGATGGAGGAGATGGTGGAGTAGACAAAATCAAGTGGAGGTCATGTTTGCCTGGTGTCTCTGTTCCAAGGGTACATTACCACCTGTGATCTCTGTTCTTCAAGGTGAGAAGCTTTCCTCTGGCTCAAGGAACGGACCGAGCGTTCCTGCACTACACTTAATACTGTCAACTGAGCTGCTGGAGCCTTGAGAGGCAGCAGGATTGGCTCCAACGTGCCCAGAACAATGGGAAAAGCAAGAGGATGGGAGGGGAAGAGGATGGAATTGAATGGGCAGTCGTTTGCCCATCTCTAAAATCTTAAGTGCTATCAACATATTTGAAAAGGATATTTAGGATTCCTCAACTTAACATCAAGAACTGCTTTCCAATTTGTTTCCCCTCTTAGTTCTCCAACTAATGAACTTTTTTTTTACCACCTCCTTCAAACGTGTCACTAGAACATTAAATTAAACCCACTTAGAAACAGTTGGATGATAGAGGGAATCCAGAAACACATTTGGCACAGGGCCACAGTGGTGAGGAAACAGTGCCCTATGGAGCCATCCTAAGCAACGTGTTTTAACCTTTGCAAGTCTGAAATTTCAGGTGTTTGAGAACCCCTGGATCCAAGACAGCACACACAGGAGGAGAGCAGCAGGTCCTGTGGACAGAAGGGGTTGAGGGAGGAGGGAGGCAGCTAACTGGCTCTTCTCGGTTCTATCCAGAATCTCCTCTCATCTTCATGCACACAAAATATAATAAAAACTAAGAAGAATAAAAACTAAGCCCATAATGTACAAAAATGTGTCAACAGGGGGAAGAGGAAGGTGTCAGTTACTCAGTTCTGTGTGTGTCTTATCACCTTCATTAGCTTATAAATTATGCTCCTCTCCACCGCTTCCTTCGGGGAGGAGGGATGATTCTTCTGCAGCCAAACAGCTGGGATGGGTTTTGGTTGAAGCTGCTCTGGATCTTTTGGATAAGAAATGAAGGGAAGGGGAGGAATTCCTCAGAGGGAGGAGTAAGAAATTCAGCAGCCACTGGCAGGAGGCACACAGGCCAGGCTCCCTGAGACTTCACTTTATGGCGCTGACCCCCACGTCGCCGGCCTCCTCCTCCAACTTTTGACTGGAAAAAAACAAGAAAATGGGCTTTAGTGGGCAGAAACCTCAGAGTATCAAAACAGCAAGAGTTCAGATGGGGTCTCACACACACATCCTGACAGCAGGAGGGCAGTTGTGACCTGTCAGCTTCCTACCATTACAGGAAGGGGAGCAGGCGGACTGTGAAGGAAGGAGGAGAGAGACACATCGTGAAGTTCAGCCCTTCAAGCTGGGGTGAACCTGATTTCCCCCAATTTTCTGAATGCGTCCCTCCCGGGAGAGTCAGGTGGTGCCATGGGGCTCAGCATCAGGGAAATCGAGGCCTCGGGCTCCCTTGGTGTTGTGTAGAATGGAAGGAGAGACCCCCCATCCCCCCTACCAGGGCTCTGTTGCTACCCTGACTCTGTTCCCACCGTCCTCTTTTACAGCAGCTAAATACCTTAGTGCCCTCACGGAGGTGGGGCTCCTCATCCAATGCAGGCTGAGGGGAAACAGCAAAGAGAGAGAGGCAGAGGTAAGCAAGAACAAAAGCAGCACAGATGCTTGGGGGGAGGGAGGAAACAAAGAGCAAGCTGGGAGGACTACTTACAACCAAAGTGCTGTTAGAAGGTGAGGAGGAAATGGGGTATGAAAGCCACGGGCATATGCAAAGGGAGAGAACCTCTGCTACAGGGGCCTCTTTCAGCAGCCAGCCTGGCTCAAGAGGGTGAGACAACTAAAGATAGCTAAAATGAAGAGGAGGAACACTGACCAGGTCCTTTTGAAAGTCAGTTCCTGAACCTTTTGCTTACTAGATAAGTACACTAAAAGCAGAAGTTTCTCCTATCAGTAATAAACGGCTCCCAAAGCCTGCAGTTAGGATTGAGTTTCTGTTCCTTTCAGACCAGAAAGGCCAAATATCTTTCCTCAGACAAGCTGAGCTGAGAAGTCCTAACCAACAGAACAACCTGGATAAATTTCTCTAGAAAGAGATAAGCCTTTCCTTCTCCTTGGATGTCTCCATCCTCCCTCCTCAGCAGGGCAGATGACGTGTGTCTGACACTACTACTTAGGTTGTAACTCCTCTGGTGTAAGGGTGTTCCACCTCTCATTCTGACAGCAGAGACCCATTCTGGGACTGGTTGTCAGTGTAAGGAGATGCTTCTTCACCATGAGAACAGTCAAGTACTGAAGCCAGTTGCTCAGCAAGGTTGTGCAGTCTTTCTCCTTGGAGGGTGACCTGATCTGAGCTAAGACAGAACTAATTCTGTTCAGTGATTGCACTTTTCAGCTAAGTCTTTTCCAAGTAAATGCAGTTCCATCTGCTCCTGAAGCCAGTCTGGAGCTTCTTCCCCAGTGCCTGCCCCACAGCATCAGTGGTGGCAGGACATAATTGCATTGGGGGGGTTGGGTCTGATTTTTTTTTTTAGTACATGAATATAGATTTAATTTTACTGGTCTTATTTTCCTTAAAGCTGTTTTCGTTCCTCAATCCATGAGTCTCTCCCCCTTATTCCCCTTCTCTTCTCCTTTGGGAAGGGAGAGCATCTGTCATTTGTTTAGTGACTGGCCCAGCCCTAACCTTTGACAGAGGGTTTTCAAGACATGACTGGAGAAAACCCTGAGCAACCTGGTCTGACCTCACAGCTAATCCTACTTAGAGCAGGAGGTTAGACTAGACACTTCCTGAGGTCCAGCCTGAATCACCCCAGGATCCTAAGCTTCTAGCTGCTGAAAGGTCAGTCGTGAGGAGTCACCCAGTCAATGGAGAATCCTGGTTTCTGCTGTGAGACTACTTACATTTCCATTTTTTTCTGTTGCACACTGAGTCCCAAGGTGAGTTCAAGGGATTGAGGGGATAATGCTTGTGTCTTAGAATGCCCTTCCCTCCAACAGATGTAACCATGCTGCAAACAGCCAGGACAGACATGGTATTGTCCCTCACTTACCAATGGTGGCAGGGCAGTAGGTGTAAGGGGTGCTGCTGCTGTTGAGGGGGTCTCGTCCCCAGCTGGTGGGCCTCCAGCTGCTGTCCCAGCTGAGGAAACACCCTCCTCTCGTTTCGTAACAGCTCCCTTCTTGGTTGACTGCATCTTGATCTGCTGGGGCTTCGAGTTCATTGGCGAGTTATTGGTGGTCTGGAGTAACTGCAAATGACAAAGGGAGAAGCCAAAATCAGCATTAAAACAGCTAAGCCAACCTGGCAAGGTTCAATGCTGCTTTTTAACAAACAGCTAAGAGCCGTTGGGAGAAGATGAAAGAAATCTAGGCCCCTGAGCTGCCCTCAGGAACCCTTCAGGGTGGAAAGGGGCCACTGGGCTGAGAAGACACTTAGCCGTCTGCAATATGACCCAAAGGGAGACCAAGCCATAAGAACCAGAGGCATCTGGCTCACTCCTCCAGCCTTCACATTCCCTCAAAGACCCATCACACAACAAACCCCACTGCTCATCCACAGCCCCTGTCCAGGCTGACATTTGTAATCAAAGGACAGCCTTTTCCTTCAATTTTCCAGCGCTATCCGGATTCTCCTGCTGGCTTCTCAGTACCAAAAGCAGCTAAAATGGGCAAAATACAAAAAGAAAAGGTTGGACTCTTCATCCTTTACCTTAGTGATGGTGCCCACAGCTTTGGTGCGGCCTTCACGGAAGACCAGGCGCTGGTCTATATGCAAATATTCTGGGGTTTTGATGAAACGAAAGTGCACGGTGGCTTTGTCCCCTGTCCTCAGGCAGTCCTTGTCCATGCTGAGAATCGTGGCTGTCTGACGGATGCTGCCACAATGTACTGTGAAGGGAATGCACAAAGGCTTTCAACGGCCAGTGTCGTTGGTGGAATGAGCTTCAGACAGACATCTAAGGCAGTTCTTGCTGCCCGACAGCTAACAGAGCTGAGTTTGGAACCTAAAACTCTGCTCTGTACCAAAGACTATACATGGCTGCCTTTTGTTCAGTCCTCAGAAAGAAAACCCACACAAGCTAGAACATTGTCCTTGAATGGAGACTTTCCTCAAGCATCCTCAACAGAATCCTACACGTCAAACAGCCACGCTAGAAGGCAGGACCTAAAACGAGTCTCTCAGTCAGCATTTGAAGCTGAAGAATCTTTGCACCATGGTAGGCTCCAAGTACACCTGGAGTCTCAAATCTCTCTTTTTACTCACAGCCTTTGGCACTTTTCTGTGTCAGCTCCCTCCCCTTCTTGCTGGCATTGCTGGGAAAGGTCAAACCAGGAACTATTGCTCATATCCAGACTGACGAAGCCGTCGGGAGAAAAATGATCTCAAGCTAGAGCGGATACAGACTATGAAAGCAAAACTAGGAAGCCAAGATGAGCCAACACTCAGACACGTACCCATGGCCTGATACCGTGGGCTGATGGTGGTGGGGTGATGGAGCACCAGAATCTCTGCTTCAAACTCCCAGGATGCTTGTGGATTCAGGCGGGGTGACACCATCACCATCCCTTTCCGGATGGAAGAACGCTTGATCTGAAAAGCAGAGGCACAAAAAACAACCCTGGTGTGATTCTCCTGTGAAGAAATTTGCTTCTCTGGCTGACTGCCTCCAGGAGGATCCTAAGGGAGTTGACAGATCCTAGCTCCTGCTCACCAAAAGGCAAAGCCAGAGCTGTTTAGCAGGATGTAACGATGTTAAGCAAAGGCTGCAAAAATCAAGTTCAGCTGAAGGTTCCAAGGAAGTTTTGGTTATAGTGCTGGGAATGCTGGAGACTAACACAGAAGTTTTAACTCACTAATCCTTTAAAAGCAAAACACATATTACCCAAGCAGATGATGCCTCCAAAAGCACGATGTCTGTTAACACAAAATGAGAAGACTGACCACAGGAAGTTTGGTATAGCTTAAACTATATCCCCTTAAAATCATTGCAGCTTCTACTGACAGAAACCTTTCACCAGAGGACTCACATCAAATTTTTTTAACCTTTAAAGCCCAAATAGGAGACTTTCCTTGCAATGCCTCCACTTTGTCCTGGCACCCTCCGCTGTTACCTGCCAGCTGTCAGACAGAGCAACGTGGACCCACAGAGGCCCTACAGAATTTTAATGTGAAACAGGGCAGCTGAGCTTTGCAGAAGCACTCTGATGGCAGCTGAACCCCAAGAGCACTCTGAAATGAGGAGGGTGGGAGTCTAGAGCCGATCATCTCACCTTTTTCAAGGCAAAGGAGGCAGTCTGGCCTCCCCTCACTTCTTTGACGGGCATCCTCTTGCGGTGGATGGACTTGACAGCAATGGGTAGGAAGTTGCCAAGGGGATCTGGCCCCAGCAGCAGGGTGTCATTTAGCTTGATGAGGCCTCTCAGTGTTGTCCCAGACACAACTGTTCCTACACCCTATGCCAAAAAAAAAAAAACAAGCCAGTAATTGGGGTTACTTGACCACACTAAGAGAAGAGCTCTTAGAACTCCCCTGTCTAGGTAAAATGCCTTCTTCAGGCTGGAGGAGGGTGCAAAAAATTCTTCCAAACACCAAACCCCTTACCGGGACAGAGTAAGTATCATCTATCTGGAATTCTGCTGGCTCTTCTTCCCTGTAACTGGTCCGTGGAGACAAGAGGTTAAGAAACATCTTCAGCAAATCTAGGTTCTCCCCAGTGACATTTGAAATCTGGAAAATCGGGCACATCCTGTAAGGGGGAATTGAGGAAAATGGAGTTAGTTCACCCTCCCTGTCTGGAATTCCGCATGTTAAGGGAGACATCCAAAATTTTGGGACTGAATTCAATACACAGTGCTAGGAAGGGAGAGCCTGGCAAAGCAGTCAGATGCACAACACCCCACGTTTGAAAACCTGCAACATCGCCTCTGCCTTCTAATGACATTCAGGAATGGGTGTGAAGTCCCAGGATTGAAGGAAGCTGAATGCCCTGTCATCTTCTGCAGACTGCCCAAAAGCAGCCTCTCACTTCTGTCTGGGAGATGGGAACACAAGCAGATCAATCTCAGAACCAACACATTCTTATGGAATCGACACACCACATGGCAGATGCAACCCTCACACATCTGAGACAAATGGGGACTCTCTTTCTGAACCTTCTCACCCAGTCTCCAGATAGGATGGAAAGAGAAACGACTCTCCTCTACTCCAGTTACCTCTCTGAGCTGAAGTTGGAGGCTGTTACAATGACATCATCCTTGCTCTGAACCAGCACGGGAATCTTCCTGCACCCTGGGGACTTCAGCAGTCGCTGTAACAGCTTCAGGGTTTCTTTAAAGGGTGAAATGAAGATTGTTAGGGCAGCCTTCACCAGTCCCTTTCGTGGGGGCTCTCCCCACAGGGAGATTGGTGTTCTTGCCCCAAAGAGACAGGAGAAGATGGCTAAAGAGCGAGACTGAGTTGGCTGCAGCCCAGGTGGGACTTCTGAGCCATTCCATCTTCCATTTCATGCCAGCTACCTCCTGCCAAGCCACACCACACAGGAATGGACATTCATCTTTGCATCTGCAAGTGCAATGCTGTGAAGGAGACATTTTCTAGCTGTCTGTTATGCAGTTACAAGGTATTTCTCTTTCTATTAAGGATTTTTTTTCATATTGAATTCAATGAAAACCAGCAGCACTCAGGAATGGAAATATTTGAGAATATGTGAACTAGAAATCAGTTTTGACCAAACAAACCTCAGTGTACTTTCCCTGGCAATCAACCTGCCCTAGAAGGTTAGAGAAGAGTGAAAGAGGTAAAGATCATCATCACAGACCAGGACAGTGTAGGTGAACCAGATCCAGAAGTAAATATTTTGGGGCACATCTCACTGTTCTCAACTTTGATCTTTTGCCTCTTTTAAATTTCTTTTCTAAGCCTCCTATCTACCAGCCAGCAGGGGCACTACCTGATGCACTAGTGCCAGCCTGCTGCAAAGTGCCTGACAATAAATGAGGAAAAAAGAAAAAAAAAGGCTAGTAAAGGCTGAAAAGAGCAAATCATTTGTATTCTACAATTGTCACCCAATTAGATGTTTTTTTTTTGTGAGCAAATTATTGCCTATGGGAAAGCAATGTTTTGGATACAGAAACACAAATATCTAATTGTGCCATCTGCTCTTCACAGATACATTTGAGCCAAATCTTGTGTTTAGTTTCAACAGAACATGACACAGAGGTGGCTTCTCTCAACAGCAGCTCTTCTCTCCTCACCCCAAGCCAAACATTCTCCTTCCTTGGCACTTATCTTATGGTAGGGCTTTAGATTTATTTGCCAAACATCTACTACAGAGACATTGAGATTATCTTCTGATCACAAGTCTGTTTACCTGACACATATTTAGGATTTTTACAGTAATGTACTAACTGCAGACAGTACTAGGAGTGTTCACTTTCCTGATTCTTAAGACTGATTATCAAAAAAAAACATTGCTTCAATTAACCACAGTGTGTTCCTGAAGGTTTGAGAAAAACATCAAGAGAGCTTTAAAGGTAAAAGTTAGTCACAGCCTGAAAAAAAACACCAAGCACAGGTTAAAGGGATGCTCCTGGGGTTAGAGATGCTGCTTCAACTGCTGCTGAGCAAAAGAGTCCCCAGCCCCTGCTGCTTGCTGCCATCCCTGCTTGTGTCTAGTCTGGTCCTGCCCCCACAGCTCACATATGCAGCTGCTTTGAACCATGACTCAGTAAGTGCTGGCTGGTTGTTCAGACAGAGGAAGGGACTGCTGTAGTTAGGCCAGCACATCTGAGAAGCACCCAGGTGAGCAGAATGTGAATGGCTGCTGGAGAAGAAGTTTCATCAAAGCTTAGGATCACGCTCAAACTGTAGGCAAGGAGGAAAGCAGATTTCAAGAGAACTTCCAGATTTTCCCTCCAGGTTTAAATACCTAGAGAGAAAGCAAAGCCACAGCTCCAGCTGTATGCTTCTCCCCTTTGAGCTCAGTTAAGGAAAACCTTGTAGCAAACACTTTTGGGTTGCCCAGCTGAGTCCCCCAACTCAGGTAATTTTGAAATGGTGATTACAAGTGAACTGCTTGCAAAATGGGCAAGGGAAAAGGACAAAATTCTGGAAGGTATTTAAAATGCACTCAAAACCTGAAAAAAAACATCTTTTCCCCCAGCAGTAATTCCTCAACCCAAGCAGAGGGCAACAGCACATAAAAAGGTCAGAAACAGCCCTGGAGAGACTTCTCAGGACTCACCTTGCAGGATGTTGGCAGGGCACATGTCAATCTTGGTCACCACAACAAAGACAGGAACGTTCAGCGCCAGTGCCAGGCCCAAGTGCTCCTTGGTCATCCCAACGATGCCAGCATTGCTGCCAACCTACACCAGGGATATAAGACATGGTGATGAACATGTTCCTCCTGCAGCGAGCTGGGTGACAGAGAAGGTCTAATGTCAGATGGGCAGTAGGCTGTGATTAGGTTGTAATGGGCCTGTATGAGCAGACCCAGCTCATCTCAAATGCTGTTGGACACTGGCTAAGGACTCTTCACTCCTCAGTATTAGCAAGGTGCTCTAGAGTTTAGAAGCCCTTCCATTTTCAAGAACCATATATCTCAGGCCTGTCTGAGACTGACAGTCCTGGGACACTCAGAATCATAGAATCCTTTAGGTTGGAAGAGAGCTCCAAGATCATCAAGTCCAACCAAGCCAACACTACTAAGTCCTCTGCTAAAACAGATTAGAATCTGTCAGGGTTAGAAGGGACCACAAGGATCCCCCAGTTCCAACCCCTCTGCCATGAGCAGGGACACCTCCCACTAGATCAGGCTGCCCAGAGCCTCATCCAGCCTGGCCTTAAAGACCCCCAGGGATGGGGCCTCAACCACCTCCCTGGGCAACCCATTCCAGGGTCTCACCACTCTCATGGGGAAGAACTTCTTCCTCACGTCCAGCCTGAATCTGCCCACTGCCAGATTTGCCCCATTCCCCCTAGTCCTGTCATTACCCAATAGCCTAAAAACTTCCTCCCTGGCTTTCTTTTTTTTGTTTTTAGGGGTTGGACTAGATGATCTTTTGAGGTCACTTCCAACCCTTATAATTCTATGATTCTTGTCACAGCGGGTGCTGTTCTCCACCTGAAGGAGATGCTCCCTCCCTCCACAACCCCACAGGGACTTTGCAATAGGAAAGCTGAGGCCACTCCAGCTGTGAAAAGCCCTTCTCCTGTTCTCCTGCTGATGCCATACGATGAAATTGCTACCTACCATCAGCATGCAGAAGTCGGGCAGGTGGCCGGTCATGCCGAAGACGGTGGTTTTCAGGTACTTTTCGTGACCAGCCAGGTCAATGAAAGTGATGACCTTGGTGGATTTCTCACAGATCTTTGTCCACTCCAAGCTGCCCCCGTGGCTGTCGGGTTTGTTCACCACGTTGCCCTCACTGTCAAAGCCCAGGATGTCATTGCCCACGCTGCTGGTGCGGCCTGACTCGATCTCGTGCTTGTGGCGGAAGAGCTTTTGCCGAGCAAAGCCTCGGCCATTGTCTAGTTCTCCATGGGTCAAAACACCCAGCAACGTGCTCTTTCCCGCATCCACGTTGCCAACCACTGCTACCCTGAAGGGGAAAGGAAAAAGGGACCTGGTAAAATCACATAGCTGGAGAAACAAACAAGGAAGCAAAAAAAAAACACCCACCGAACCCTCACTGCTGTTGCAAATAACTAGTTTTTAATCCCTAAGCTTCAAAAAGAGATGAAAAAATGTTAAAGCTTTACAAGCAGAGCAGAGATTCTTTCACAGTTATGAGTTAATAGCCCCAGACTCTGGAGACTCGGATATGGAAGACTGTGGAAATATGTCAAGGTGTCCAGAACACAGTCGGCTGAACCTGACGTTGCTTGATGCCATACAGAATATCCCTCTTCCAACCTTGGTCTCTCAAAAGAAAGACTAAATCCCAACTTGGGCTTTCTCATATTCCTCATGCTTCAACAGCACCAGGTGCTAAGGAGAGCACAGAAATTTAAATTGCTGTTCCCGGGAAAGGAAAAGCTCAAACAACACCAAAACATTTTAGGGGAAAACCATCTCCTACAGCAAACTCCTTCCTTGTCTCTGATAAATGTGGCTATTAGAGCTGTTGGCAAATGTTGGAAATCTGTTCTATCCAGATCTGGGCAGACTCCCAAGTCATGCTACACAAGCTATTATATGTCCATTACAAAGCAACTTGGATCATCAGAGTCTTGGAATAGAATTGAACCCCCAGTCAAAATACTGTATTCCAGCAGCATGCTGGACACACACAAAATACCCTGCTAGGACTCCAGCCCACAAAAGATCCCCAAACTGCAAAGCTGTCACCCAGACAGCAACAGCCCTCAGCTAAACACAGGCAACTTTCCACAAACAGTTTGCTCACCAGAGACAACACCAGCAAAAGAGACCATTTCATTACCAAGGAGTGGTCAAGCTCATTTCCCTTTGTCAGGTAGCTGCAACACCCAGATTTGAATCAGCATTGCTGGCTCAGCAGCAGGGACTGTTCAGGCTGTCAAAATGCAGCTGGGCTGCTGACTAACCCTGTCTCCACCCAGCTCCTCACCTGACCTCCAGGAAGTCGTTGTCACCCACTCGTTTCCGAACCAGGTAGTCGCGCACCTTGCCCCCTGCCTCCTGGTGTTCCCTCAGGAGGATCACGTCGGCCTCCATCTGCTCTGCCATGCTCTTCAACGTGGCATAGGAAGCTTCCATGTCTGCCTCACTCAGCCCATATTCTGTCCCATCTAGGAGGATGTTGAGGAGACAAAGGACAGTCAGGGAGCACCCACTTTGCAACAGCCAGCAGCGAGGTCAACCTGCCTGGGGCTTTCACACCCATCGGGATTCAGATGTGGGCTGGAGGTGTCAAATGTGAATAGAATAAGCACCCTTTGACCAAAATAAACTGGTGTCTTCAGTCTAAGTCTTTTAGACACCAGTGTTTTTCACCTAGAGGAGTTTTCTTCACTATTTCTAGGAGCAAATCAGCAAGAGACGTTTCTAATTCCCTCACTCCTCATGCTGAAGGTACTTTGAGCACCATTTCCCTCACTCAGGTACCTCCTCTCCCACTGCAGTAAAGGGAAAAGCACTAAGAAAAGGAAAGCTCTGAAATATGACCACAATTCACCAGCCAATGTGGGACTCATTTAAACAAATTAGCTTATTTTATAAAACCACATCCCCAGCACACATTTTCTGCAAGTCTGGCCTGCAGAGAGATTTCTTTGGCCCCCACGTACTCCAGTTAAAACAATGGTCTTGGCATGTCTCACTGCCTTCATCCTGGCACTCTGGAGATGTGCTGAAAACACACAAGGCCAGAAAACACCAAGGAGGCACCTCTGCCTCTCAACAGCCCACCCAGGCAAAGAGCTGACAGCCAGAGCAAGCCAGTGGCAACTACCTGGACAGCTTAAAGGCCTCATCTTCTGTCCTAACATAGGTGCTGAGAAGCTGCACAGATTTTTGGGCTATAATCTCATCTTGGTGAAGAAAAACAACAAAGGTGGAGAGTAACCTAGCAGCTGGATGAGCAAAGCTATTACTGTGTGTGCATTTGCCTGCATGTCTGACTCACCAGCTGGTAAAGCAGAAACTGCAGCTTGCATGAACTAAACAGCATTTGAACTACCACACAGCTCTGCAATAAGTAGAGTTACTGGGTGACTTCCAACCTAGCTCATCAGCTGGCTGAGGAGCTGTTGAGATGATGGGAAAACAAAAAGAACCATGGCTGGGGTCTTGGCTCATAGAAGGGGAATGAGATATAGGCAGGAGAGGTAAGAGCCAAGGGAGGAAGGTTTGATGAAGCAGTGACCATTCCTGGATGTTATCAGAGTTGGGTGGCCAGGATCATCAGAATCATTGACAAAGTGAATGAGAAAGAGCAAAGGTGTTCTGAATATATTTGAAACATGCCTTTAGCCTTATCTTAGCCATAGACAATTTTTTTGTTGTTGTTCAGAAAAGAAATTTCAACTTCAAAGCAAGGCCACATTCTCTATTATTTTACTAGCATCAGAGGCAAATATTTCAGTTCTAAAGAGGAACAAAAAAGGTAACCCATGCTAACTTCTAAAATCTGTAAAGGCAGATAAATGACTGCAGCCACACCCGAGTTGATGTGACAATAAAGGGTTCATGTTGGGAAAAAAGAAATCCTTTCTCTCCATAGTACAGACACATGCCGAGAAAGAAAGTCACCAGCATGAGTTTCCACTATCTAAATTATCTCAAATGTATCCCTGTGGGGTAAAAATATTGTTACTTACCACTGAAGAAGTGAACAAAACCAGTGGGAATAAGATCTCTATCAGAAATTGTGAATGTCTGTACTAAAACATAGTATAATTTCAGGTCCTTTGTCTTTTCCTGGTGTGCCCAAACAGCTTTGGCCTTATTTCCTAAAAAGAACTTGTATGATTTTATACAAAAGATATGTTCAGGTCCACTTCATGAGACAGTCCCTGGCAGGAATAAAAGAAAAGAATCCTTCCCATATGCTCTGCTACACTTGATGGAGGTTTCTAAGTTATTCTGGAGAAGTAACTGCCACCTTCAGCAGCAGACCAGTTAGAGGAATTAGTATTTTCTTATAATTATAACGATTTTTTGTTGTTTTCTTGTGAAAGTTTTACTCACCTGATCCTTGCCCAATGACATAGATGGTCTCCCCACATCCCTCATCAATTCTCTCTGACATTTGCCTGAGCAAACTGTCATACTGCTCTGAAGTTGGACTCACCATCACCAGCTGGGAAAAAAAAAAGATGAAATACCCATTTGCAGATGTCAAGCAAACAATTTCAAAACCAGCTTCAGTTACAAGGACAATCCATCCATGGGCTTTTCATTTTTAAACCAGCTTCTCTGACAGCTAATTCCTTGTGATGCTGCACAAAGTTATTTGTCTGAGCTCAGAGTTCATTTGTGTTGGAAGATACACTTCAAAGCAAGTCAGGAACCCAAGCACCTCATTTGGAAGTGACCAATATTTAAAAGCCACATTTAAGTGAACATCCCACTTCTGTGTGATACGTGTTTCCATGCAAGGAAAACAGAAAGGTCAGGAGGTATTTTTCTCCAAAGAAAATTCCTCAGCTGGGTACTCCACAGTCTCTGCTGCACAGAGTGCTGCTGCTCCCCAAAAATATGACAGGATGGCCAGAAGGAGCCAGCCAGACCTCACTGCAGAGCACCAAAACCTAGAGCATCTCCTCATCAAGCTTCACACACTTGATCTCCCTTTTTGTTTCCTGAGGGCGGAGGGGAAGGAGAGAACACAAATAAGCATCATTTTCCAACTCTTAACAAAACTTCAGGTGCTTTCCACCACAGTGCTGGGAGGCAGGCACACCAAGCAGCTTGTACAAGCATATTTGGATGTTTCACCAGTGGAGAGCTGCAGTTTTGCAAGCCAGCAGCTGGGTTACCAACAAGCTTTGACTGCACAACCACAACTTCCTTTGCCCTTCCCTGCAAAGGCATTGAGAGAAGGAGAAAGTGGACAGAAACAAAGCAGTAAATGAGGACAAGAAAACACTCTTCCTAGAAAAAAATGGCATGGCACCACTTCTGGGGAAAAAAATAACAACTGTGTTGTTCCTACAGTACAGCTGAGTGACACAGAGTGGCCACAATGGTGGTGTGGCAGTGGTAGGCCAAGGAGACCTTCATCACCCATTCAGGACCTGCTCCCTGGGTAGCTCCATGGTTAGAAATCTGTTGGTGGCTGAGCATCCTGGGACACTGCACCAAGGCCAGTCTGAAATCTGTGTTAAATTTGTCCTAAATGTACAGTTTACAGCAGGTCATAATGATTACAACTTCAAGCCTGCTCAATATTCTCTACTAACAGAACTTGACTTGCTAGCCCAGCTAAAAAATGTGTACTCAAGGAGGAGCTGCCTTCACAACTACTGCCTAGTTGAAGAAGACCTTTATTAAAAATCTAGAGTGTATGGGAACCCCAAATCCCACAAATAATGCTTAAGCAGCTTCAAAACTATAGTGATGGATATATAGAAGTGATGGACACGTCTAGCATGGACATGAAGTGCTGGTGAGAAGGTGTGAGGCAGCCAAAGCAACACTTCCCTGGGATGTGAAGGGTGACACAGAGAACACACGTGTCTGCAAGGCCCAGGCAGCTACAAGAGACCATCACCTTCATGTCATCATCACCTCTTCTAGGCACATGCCCTACCTAAGCCTTCCACCTGCTTAGCATGGTCTGCAAAGGGTAGCAAAGCACTCTGATCTGGAAGGCCACACAGTTTTTCTATCTCAGGCTACAAGGGGCTGAGTTTTGCCTTTTTTAGTCGTTCTTTTGGGTTTGTTTTCTTCTTGAAGGGGACCACTGGATGTAAATGTGTTGAGAAGGATAATCAGCAACTGTTCAGAGGCTTGATCAGGACAGGAATGGAAGGCTGTGCATTGCTGTATGGCTTGTTTTGACCAGCAAGCACTTTCCTCAGCTCCTGGAAGCACAGCAGACAGGCTCACTGCTTATTGTGCACCAGCACAGCTCAGGGACTCAGGAAGATCTCTTAAACAGGCTGTCAGACATATGAAGACCAATAAAATAACAGGGGCCACCAGTGTTGAGGCACACTAATTTCAGTTTCTTCAGGTCTCATCACCAGCTTCACTCTTGTATGAGTGGAAATGCTCCAATGAGTGGGCAGGGTGCTGTCTCACCACAGGACACTGGAGCTGAGCAGCTCACTGCAGCCTTTCTTCACAGTGCCAGGCAGGAGGGCTGGGGGCCCCAACAACACAGTACCCACACACACCACCTCAAAACACTGTTCCCCCACCCTGCTGCCTTCACTGCCACACAGAGGTGTTGCAGGAGGGTGTTCCAGGGGTAGAGTGCCTCCCAAGCCTACCACAGAGCCAGTGAGGCTGACAGCTGATATTGTGGGATGTCAAGAGAAGGCTGCACAGAACAAATGACAGCTTCCATGGATGACACCTTCCAATGCTGTTCCATATTTCTCATGTCTGATTCCACAGCCCCCAGCCAGTTCTGCTGTTCCCTAGGTCAGGGCAAGGCTTTACTTGCTGTTTTGAAGATCTCTTTAGCTTCCTGGACAGAGGGAGCCTGTTCTTTGCCAACACCTTGGTCAGAGAGCTGTTCTCCATCTTGGCCTGTGGCTTTGTTTTTGCTTCCATGTTTTTCAGAGTTCTTCACACAGTGGAAAATTTTCCTTTTTGTTCTTTCCACTCTGCACTGAGCAGTTCACAGTAGGAGCCATTTGGGTCTAGGGACCTCAGGTTTCCTATAAACAAAAAAGGAACAGACAGTTATCATTTTATCCTCGTGACAGCAGAAGGAAATTCATCTCACAAGTTTCAGATTCCACCTCTAAAGTCCCTTCTCAATCTCTGGGAAGAGGTGGCTTTTCCCACCTCTCCTCTGATCAGTTTTGGGATTAACATACCCCAGAGGTGGGTAATGGCTAAAGCTGTCTGAGTTTACTCCAGGGGGACAGGATTGTGCCATTCTGCACTGCCCAGCAGCAGCCAAGAGGCCATGGGATTAATTAACAGCAATTTCAAGACAGCAGTGAGACTGAGCTCAGGTTACATGAGCACTCCTATAGACAGTCCTTACAGAAGAAGCATCCAATAGCCACGAGACAGAAAAAACATAAAGATTAAGGAAAAAACAAATGCTATGTGGAACATAGTGCTGCTGTTGTGACATTCTGCATGGCTGGAAGGCCACCAGCAGCCACTGGGAAGTCAGGGGAAAGGCACCTTCTCTAATGTCATATTTTTGGGTTTTATTTCCCCTGGACATACACAGTCCAAGCACTATTAATGTTCTGTTGTCAGTGTGGGTCTAACCTAAGTATCAGCTTCACTGACAGCCTTGTGTGGTATGTTTTTGACCTGAAAGGTGATTGCTATTGCAGTGTGTCAGTGCTGAAGGGAAAACAAAAGCCCATTCAGATGGACACGATAAGGGATTTGTGCTGAGAAATGGAACTGTTTGCTCAAGCAGCTGACAAGGTGCACTTGGTAACTGAACCCAAAATGTTCCTCTCTAAAAAGAGCACACCTTACACTAAATGTGCTGGGGGAGGACTGGGAGAAAAGTAACCCAGGGAGGGGCTGGGTCAAACCAGGAGAGAAGCAGCAAACTGACTGCAGTGGGAATCACCATTTTAAGCAAGAACTGGAGGGCAGCAATCCAACTGAGAAGATGGGAGGGGAGGAATTTGGGGTAGGGGAGTGCAGGTTAGCTACTTCATTCTCAGCAGATGCGATTGCTCTTTTGAGCACATAGCAGTGCCCTCAGAGAGACAGGGCAGAGCTCATTGCCTTAGCTCTTATCTAAGATAAAAGGTCTAGGGAAAAGACAGCAGGTGTAGACTGCTGTCTGGAAAAGGAACTTGTAATATAGGTCAGAAAAAGTCTTACCTGTTGCCTCCACAGTGCCTGCAGATTTCTAGGAACTTTCTTGCAGAGTGACAACACAAATGGAGGTTGTTGGGAGACAAGCATTCCTCTCTCTTCATCAGTTTTGGTCAGGTTCCTGGCTCTTGAGAATCAGCGACACAGCCCTCGGTGTCCTCGTGGGCTCTCTTCCACATCAGCCACAGCCAAGACAAAGCCCAGATCGATACTGGCACCCTGGATCAAAATCTTGTCCAGCTCATTAAGGCACAAACAGGTGGCTCAATAAATACTGCAGGCTTGATTTCTGCTCTTTACTATCTTAGAAGACATCTTCATAAAATTGGTTGTACTACAGTCCCACATTGTAAAATATCTGGTCATCCCCTCAAAAACAGAAGTTCCCACATCCCCCCACCACAGTTCCTCTCTCCAGTTCTCCACAGAGGGCAAGAAAATCCAGGATTTCAGAACAATGCCAGCTGGAATTGTGAAGAGGAGCAATGGCAGAAAAACCAGAGGAAACATCAGCTATGCTGACTTCTGGATCACATCATCACAACTGGACCAAACCAAGCTGTCAAGAGACTTCAGGGTGGGAGATGGCATCACAACAGATCAAATCCTTGGCAGCAAAAGGGATATGGTTAAAGAGATCAGCGAAAAAACTAGAAGATGGTGCAGAAAGGTGGCCAATGCCTCTGTCAGGATCTGGCATGCACGTACTACTACAGTGTGCCCTCCTGCAAGGTGCAAGTGAGAAGGGATTCTGACAGAACTAAGCCCACCACACAGTTTTGTCGCTTAGGTCCTAAAGAGGAACTGCACAAGCTGAACAAACCTCTCTGTGTTAACTTAACGTGGCCTGTCTTAACTCATCCTTGTCACCGAGCCCTTTCACTCCAAAGTTATGAGCCCTGACCTGCTCTTAAGATTGTGAAGAAAAGCCCAGGAACTAGCAGGGCTGGCAGCAGAGATAACTACAGAGGGAGAACGTTAGTGAGGCGTGAAAGCAGCTCTCGGCTTCCAACCCCGCGCTGGCCGAGAGGCTGCAGCCCCCGCTGCAGGCACCCCCGGGAAGCCCGGGAGGGGAAGGAGCGGGACAGGCTCGCCAGCACCCTCCTTTGCCGGGCAGGGCA